TAGACGCTGCTGCCGCTGAGCTCCCTGCTGAATCTACAGTCTCTGGACCCAACCGGTTCCCCCTCTCTCAAAGGATCTGCCAGAACCTCATCTAGGTACATTCTGAATTAAGACACTCGACAAGCCATCTCGCTGCCTGGCTAATCAAACTATCCATCTTTGCAGATGTCAGTGATTCCAGTCCCGGACCTGTACCAGAAAAAGTTCATAATCACTCTGTGTGTTTTTCAATATACTCTGTTAAACTTTTACTCAGCTTCCTGTGGTGTTCTGCATGTGGGTTCAGCCTCTTAAGCCTATCATGACATTTTTCTGCTAATGGTTTATTTAAATCCATTTGTAGCAGATGCTTTATATGGTAAAGTCTCAAATGATTTGTCTTATTTTTAGACATTTTTCCTTTTGAATAAAGGAAATGACTTTATAGTTGTCGATGATGCTGTGCTTCCATAGTGGCATTTACCTTCCTCTAAACTATGCCCTAGTCACATTCTCTCCTGTTGCTAAATGTTGCTTTAAGATTCATACGGATTTAGTAAAAACTCATAAGCTTTTATTAAAAAGGCCTTTTATAGATCAGAACCTTTTTTATGCAGCTAACTTTAAAAACTGTAACTAACATCCACCAACAAACATAGTGTATGTTTGACTGTTTCACTTCCTGTGTTCTGCACTAATTCTAAACACTTGATAATGACGTCACTACCTATTATTTATTCTTTATACTATACTCCACTTAAAAAAACAAGAACTTCCTAATCTGATTTTTTTCCATTTTCTAACATTTGAGCATCTTGTATTCAACTGATTTATGACTGAATGTGTCATCAGTTTCAGATAAAACTCTTCTCAGTTCAGATTTTAAAATCTTGTCTAAAGAAAGTTTTTTCGGTTCAGCCTTGTTCTTGTTTATATGATGATGATCATTCAGATGTCTGCATCTTCTCCTTATTCACCTCCACATTCATCTCCTTACCTCCTTCACAGCTCTGAGGATGCCTCATCATGGAGACGCTTCACACAGGAAAACTATCTGACAAAGAAATAGTTCATTTTAAATCATTTTCTTTAAATTATTGACCAGAGAACCCAGAAAAATAAACCTAAAATATATAAAATTATAAGAAATTATCAATCATCCTAAGTTTGAAGCCTCACAAATGTCCAAATTTATAAAACAAAAGATTTCAAAATCTGTGCCAAAAGAGATAGTAAAAATTTAAATAGCTTAACAGTTTAACTGTGAAGTCCAGATCATTGCAGCATCTCCTCTGATGTTCTTTAAGCAGAAATTAGAAATAAAAATCATCTGGACTCACCACTAACTGGTCCTCTTCCCCCTACAGACTTCTTAGACTGTGTGTGTCTTTCTTGAATGACAACTTCAGATTTAAAAAAGAACTCCCTGTCTTTAAGCCAATGAAGAGGTGTTATTGCCTCCTGGATGCCAGGTACGTCCCACCAGGAGGCGGTCCAGGGGACGACCCAGGACACACTTGGGGGACTGTTTCTCTCTCGGCTGGCCTGGGAGCATCTCTAGCTTCTCCAAGATGAGCTGGACGAGGTGTCTGAGTGTCACTGCTGAGACTGCTGCCCCGTGACATGGTCCTTATTAAAGCGGAAGACGGCGAAAAAAGAACAAAAAAGGCCTTTTAAGGATGAGAACTTTTTTTATGCAGTTAATTTTAAGAATTACATCTAACATTCCGAAACAAACATGATGTATGTTTGACTTCTTCATTTCACTTCCGTTTTTTGAAGTCATAGTTTCTGCACTAACTTTCAATACTTTATAATGAAAACAACATAGATTATAGATTTTTTTATATATCATTTTCCAGTTAAAAAGCATAAATATCTGAATCTTTACTTTCCATTTTTTTTACATTTGGACATCTTGTATTAAAGGTATAGTGGACGATGTTCTTTTTCCAGGTGGATCATCAAAATAATTCATCCTCCTAATTGTGAATCATTCTGCTCATATGTTTACCTACGGCCATCTTGGTGCTCGTCCCCATTTTCACTTACCGGTGGTGAGTGTGACATGGTAGGAAAATTGCAAACCTTCTTTTGGAAAGTAAGCTGGTGTGAGCGATGCAAACAGGAACTTTCAAACAGAGCGTGCACGAGGAGAA